GGGGCGCGGCACCACGCCCGCTGGAGGCGCCCCTGCGCGCGCGGGCTGCAACCCGCCGAGCCCCATGGGCCCAGCCCCCGGGAGTACCCGCTGGGCCGCCAGGCGGAGCTGCTGTCAAGCCATCCAGGCCCACCCTCCTGCTCCCGCGGGCGAGCTGAATGAAAACTCCCCAACGGTGTGAACACACCCCCTGGGGTGGCTTCCTTGGGAGGGCAGTGTGAGGGCCTCCTCCAGAACCTAAATCTGCAACTCCCAAGCGTGATGTGAATCATGGGATTTGGGGTTTTCTAGTCCAGTGGTTAATTTATCAAAATCCAGGATATGTGATCTGACAAATGTAAGAATTCTATGGGGACCGTCGAAAGAATCACTTGAAATTGGGCACTGCTTCAGAAAATTCCCTCATAGAGGATTGCCCTGTCTTTAAGTAGACTTGGCGGGCATTCAGTCATTTTGCAGATGCAAAAACAGTTCCGGAAAGGTTAAGTGATGTGCTCATCCGGCTCAGAGAAGAGCTGGGAGTAACTGAGGTCCTGGAGCAGGCCAGGCCTACTCTGCCTCCCCGTGGGCTCCTTCTGTGTCTCAGCCCCCACCCCACCCCCTTGTGCCCATCCCACCTTCTCCAGAACCCCTCACACCTTCTCTCTCCCCCCTTCCTGATCAGGCGTCAGAAGTCTCACACTGGCCACTGAGAGGCCCTCTGTCAGGAAGGGTGCCCCTGAGCCAGGAAAGGGGTCTCTAGCTGGGTCACTTGACCTGGGCAGGTTCCTTTATTCAGTGGATACCAGCAAACTCAGAAAATGTCTGCATCAGCATAAGTTAGCTGGCTGGTTGGGTGGCTGCTTCTGCCAGTACCTACCCCATCCTGGGGCAGAATAAAGAAACCCAGAGGGTCTGGCTGGTGTGGCTCAGCGGTTGAGCATCGACTCATGATCCAAGAGGTGACTGGTTTGATTCTTGATTAGGGCACATGCCCCGGGTTGTGGGCTAGATCCCCAGCCGGGGCTGTGCAGGAGGCAGCCCAGTGATGTTTCTCATTAATGTTTCTCTCCCTCTCCCTTCCTCTCTCTCTAAAAATCAATAAAAAAAAATTTTTTAAAAGAAGAAACCCAGAGGGCAGAAAAGTGGTTTATTTGTAAAAAAGACTACAGAACAAGAGAAGGGCTGGAGAGCACTATGTAGAGAGATATTGGGCCAGGTTCTGACTACAGTACCTGTTTAAGATCAATCGTGCTGTTAGAGTGGGATACTGAGGGGGTTCCTATAAATTTCTCTCTGTGGGTCCAGCCTCTACCCTCTTCAAGGCATTTGCCAGCCCTTTTGACACTGGGGAGCCCGTTGGAGAGGGAGGATTTGGGGGAGGAGCTCTAAGATTCCAGTATCTATGCACCCACTTCATCTTTGGACTCACAGCCCCCTACACATACACACACACACACACACACACACACACACACTACTTGTCAGCAAAATTTTAAAAATTTTGAATTTTTCCTTAGTTTGGAAGAAGTGATGTCACTTTGCTGAGCTATAATAATAACTCCCAACCTCTAGTCCTCAGACAGCACCTCCCACTTCTCCAGGCTGAAACATTATGAGCCTGGGGGTCCCTGAACCCATATGGGGTGACTGACCATAGTCACCTGGACCAAGGAGGAGGTGGGAATGGTGAGAAGGCTGAGGGAGCCAGAAATAGGAAATACAGAGGTGAGGTGAGGTGTGACCCAAACCTCTGCTCAGCAGGGCAGTGGGTGGGGCCTCTGGGCAGGAGGCCTAGAAGTTCTCGTAATGGTGGGAGAAATGAGTCCGGTCCTGCCTGTTGATGAGCTGACAGGCCTTTTCTACATTCTTTGTCATGCCGGGAGGGCCACAACTAAACACCCCAATCTTCCGGACCTGTTGGGGGAGGAAGAAGTGAAGGCTAGCTCAGTGTCCATGTTAAAGCCAGGAAGAGTCCTTGATGAGGACTCATTCCATGCTGCTGAAGAAAGTTTGCTTCTACCATGCACTGAGGCCAGCTCAGTGTTTTAAAATCTAACTCAATTTTGAGAGACCTGCCCTCTGTGGGTCCCGCCTCTACCCTTTCCAAGGCATTTGCCAGCTTCAAGTGCAAGCAAGATCAGTGTTTCTGATAGCGGCTGGGTTAATCAGTTTCAAGTTGAGGGATAGCTTAGTGTCTCATGACAGACTAATCCAGTGTTTATGAGAGCAGTGCCTTGCCCAGAGTTGATGGTGAATATTAGCTCAGTGGCTAGGGTGAGGCCAGGCTCACTAGCTCACTATTAGTGGCAAGGGTAGCTCTGAGTTTATGGTGACTACTAGCTCAATCACTGAGCTATTCCTTCTGAACAAGGCATCATGGCTTCAGAAGGTGGCAAGTTCCTGTCACCTGCCTCCCCCATTAGCCCCTCAGGGTGACCCCCCCTTCTTCCCATTTTATTACCCCACCAACCTCATGGGATGATGAGTTCTCATAAGCAGTCAGTTTCTTCCCTGATGGAGCAGGTTTGGGAGCTTTGCTCAAACCCCAGATAATAAACTGAAGAGAACCTAGATACGGGATGGGGACTGACCTGTGGGTGAACCTCCTGCAGGGAGTTAAAGAAGGGCTCGAAGGGGGGGCGACCAAAGTGGGTGACAGAGCGCAGGCCTGTGAACAGACTCCGGTTCAGCACCTTCTGGAAGTGACGCTCGCAGATGTACTGGTGGAGAAACAAATGGAGGAGGAAGGTCAGAGCCAGCCAGAGCCAGGGTCGACTCCTAGCCCAGGTGGTGACCTACCCACCCTGCCTGGCCGGCCCTGGCGTACCAGCATGGTGGTCCTGAGGTCGAACTTCTCAGCCAGCTGGGTGATGTAGATGTGCACGGACACCAGGTCCTGGTGGTCATTCTCCTCCACCTCCCGGATGATGTCAGCCAGCCACTCGAACTGCCGCTGGGTCCGTGTCACCCAGATGAAGTAGATCTGGGGACAGNTCTTCCGGACCTGTTGGGGGAGGAAGAAGTGAAGGCTAGCTCAGTGTCCATGTTAAAGCCAGGAAGAGTCCTTGATGAGGACTCATTCCATGCTGCTGAAGAAAGTTTGCTTCTACCATGCACTGAGGCCAGCTCAGTGTTTTAAAATCTAACTCAATTTTGAGAGACCTGCCCTCTGTGGGTCCCGCCTCTACCCTTTCCAAGGCATTTGCCAGCTTCAAGTGCAAGCAAGATCAGTGTTTCTGATAGCGGCTGGGTTAATCAGTTTCAAGTTGAGGGATAGCTTAGTGTCTCATGACAGACTAATCCAGTGTTTATGAGAGCAGTGCCTTGCCCAGAGTTGATGGTGAATATTAGCTCAGTGGCTAGGGTGAGGCCAGGCTCACTAGCTCACTATTAGTGGCAAGGGTAGCTCTGAGTTTATGGTGACTACTAGCTCAATCACTGAGCTATTCCTTCTGAACAAGGCATCATGGCTTCAGAAGGTGGCAAGTTCCTGTCACCTGCCTCCCCCATTAGCCCCTCAGGGTGACCCCCCCTTCTTCCCATTTTATTACCCCACCAACCTCATGGGATGATGAGTTCTCATAAGCAGTCAGTTTCTTCCCTGATGGAGCAGGTTTGGGAGCTTTGCTCAAACCCCAGATAATAAACTGAAGAGAACCTAGATACGGGATGGGGACTGACCTGTGGGTGAACCTCCTGCAGGGAGTTAAAGAAGGGCTCGAAGGGGGGGCGACCAAAGTGGGTGACAGAGCGCAGGCCTGTGAACAGACTCCGGTTCAGCACCTTCTGGAAGTGACGCTCGCAGATGTACTGGTGGAGAAACAAATGGAGGAGGAAGGTCAGAGCCAGCCAGAGCCAGGGTCGACTCCTAGCCCAGGTGGTGACCTACCCACCCTGCCTGGCCGGCCCTGGCGTACCAGCATGGTGGTCCTGAGGTCGAACTTCTCAGCCAGCTGGGTGATGTAGATGTGCACGGACACCAGGTCCTGGTGGTCATTCTCCTCCACCTCCCGGATGATGTCAGCCAGCCACTCGAACTGCCGCTGGGTCCGTGTCACCCAGATGAAGTAGATCTGGGGACAGGGCTGGAGCTCAGGACCCAGCTCAGCTCAGGTTCCCTATATCCCAGGGATTGACACACCAATAGAACTCTTCTGGCTAGCTTGTGCCTCTCCCCAGACACCCTGGGGAGATGGGGTATATGGGGCCACAGGACATGGAGAGGTGCAAGTGAGTGACAGTGTAGGGCATCTGAAGGTCTGATCAGGTGGGAAGCAGCTTTTTCATGCTGAGCCTGTCCTGTCACTCTCTCTGATGGCTGCTGGGCTCCCAACCAACCTAAGCCCAGGAGAGGGTCCCACTAAGGGGCTTGTCACAGAACGTCTTCAGGGAAGACACAGCTGGCTGCATGGCAGAGATGGGAATGGACTCAAAAGGAGACCAGGGGGATGGAAGCTTCCTTGGGGGGACCCATCTCCAGCTTCTGATGGGGAGAAGTAGGGCTGTGTGGATTAAGCAGCAGCAGCAGAGCTGGCTTGGACAGAGGAGCAGGGAACTGTCTGTCACCCTCTGAATGCTGACAGCATACGGGCCGGGCCTCTGCCTGCTGCATTCCTGTGTTCCTGATTCACCTGCCAGGCCTAAAGAGACAAGCAGGGGCCTGCCACCAGGTGCAGGCTGGGGTGAAGGAGCCTTGCATGGAGGGGTCCTTAGGGCCTGCGCTGTGTTCCTGGACCAGCCATGCCCATCAGCCCTGCCTGCCACCTCCTGTCCTCTTCCTCTTGAGAGCAAAGCCAGTTTCACTTGTGCCCTACCCCAAGAGTGCCCTTCCTTCTCCCAGCCTGACACTGCCTCAAGTGCTAGCCTCCTTTGAAAGGTGGAATGGGTTTCTTCATCACTCTCCAATCCTGCTTGGAGGGATCTCAGAAGCAAACCCTATGTGGGGTGCTTCATAACTGAAGGAAGGAGCCTGGGGGTATCAACAAACTAACTCTGTCCTTTAGGATCTGGGGATCTATTGACCACCCCAACCCCCAGGACCAGGCCAGCTTGGCCTTTCCTACACCAGGGAGATCAAGAACAGAGGCAGGAGAGACAGGCACAGATGGACTCAGTGATTGGGAGCAAGGGCCATGGGCTGGCCAGAGGAGTGGGGGCTTACCTTCTTGCAGAACACTTGGTAGCTGACTGATGACTTGAAGACCAGGTCTTTAAGGATGGAGGCAAAGGGGGTGACCCCAATGCCCCCTCCTACCAGCACTGACACCTCAAACTTATGCCACTCCTGGTGGCCCTCTCCAAATGGTCCATCAAGGTACAGCTGCAGGGAAGGGAGTGGGTTTGAGTTAAGCTCTCAGCTATCACCGTAGTTCTGAAGCCAGAAATGAGAGGCAAGAAAAGGCAGGTAGGCTTATGGAGTGAGGGGGGAGTGGGGGACTATGGCTTTAACTGGAACAGCCAGTCTCCAGATGGGGGAGGGAGGGACACAATGGGCATCTAGTGCTGCAGTTAAGGCCTGTTAAGGGGTTGTGGGAGCATGTGGCACATCTGGTCTGGGTCTGGGCACCTTCGGGTATCTGGCACAGCCATCAGTCGGGGGTGAATAAATCTCTCTGAGGCGAGTGGTCCAGGGCCCGGCCGCCCGGATGTGCAGACTGAGAGTGTCCTCATGGGGCGCAGAAGTCAGTGTGAAGGGGTGGTACTCGGTGGTGCCCAGAGCCAGGCAAGCAATCCGCACCCACTGTCCTGACTTGTACTCAAAGCCTTGGGGCCGCTGAAACTGCAGGTGGGTCACTCCTGAGGAAGGAAGGTAGGTGAGGGGCTACTGTCCTAAACCCAGCAACAATGTGGTCTCCAGAGAGTTCCCCGACCTGCAGCCTCAGCTCTGCTTCGGGAATATGCCAGGGGGACCTCACCCCATCAGTAGTCCTTACTCTCCTCAGGCCATGTCTGTCCTGAGGAGGGGTTGGGCAACACTGGGGCTGGTGGTCAGCAGGGCAAGGGGCAACCTGACCTGGGCTCCTCCTCTCTGTTATGAAAGAGGCTCAGGACCCCTGGCAAAGAGCTTCTTTTACCAGCTCCCTCATCCCTTCCACTCCAAGGCCCCTGCCAACTCCACGGGGCCAGGCTAGGAGATTGCAAGGTCCAGGATCTGTTCTGCTTCCTCAGTACCACCGAGCTGGTCCCCTGACAGCCTAGGCTTGTACCTGAGGGCAGCAGCTCTGCCTTCACCACGCTGATCTCCACCTTCTTCCTGCTCAGGCTCACCAGCTTGTCCCCGCCATAGATTAGTGCCGGGACCAGGAAGAAGATGTGGAAACGGGGCAGCTGGATCAGGCCGAAGCTGCCGTGGATGATGATCTGAATAGAGTGAAGAATACAGCTCAGACCCAGATGCACCCACAACAGGACCTGAGGCCAGCTCAGGGCTGACTCCTGCATCCTTCCCCCACTGGCACATCCAATCCCACCTCACCGTGTGCCATGCTCCTTCAAGGTTCCAAAACCTAGCCATTCCCAAGCCCATCCTCCAAAGCATCCACAATAAATAAGACTACTGAGGCTCTCTGACACCATCCTAGACCAAGCCTCGTCAACTCACCTATACTCATGCAGTAGTCTCCTAACTGGTTTTCTACTGGGTTGCCCCACTGTGATGGATTCTCCTCAAGGCAGCCAGTGTGACTTTTTAAAGTTCATTTTATCATGTCATCCCCAGCTTTTAAAGCCCTAGTGGCCTTCCCATTGCACCTCAGGCCTTGTGATGCTCTGATTCCTGCCTGCCAGTGTTTCCTTCTTCCTGTTCTTCCAACACGGCAAGTCCTTTCTGCTTCGGGACCTTTGCGCCTGCTGTTCCCTCTGCCAGGAATGCCCTCCCCCTGGTTTTTGCTATGATTACCTCCATCTCATTTTTCAGGCCTAAGCAGAAACACTACCTCCTCAGGCCTTCCCCCAGTCCTCTCTGTCACAGCTCCCTGTTAACTCCCTTCAAGTCACTTGTCATCCACAATAATTTTGTTTCTTCATTCGTTGACGTGTTTACTGTTGTTTTCCCCAGGGGAATGTTAGAGTAGGTACTCTATCCATTGTGTTTGCAGCTATTCTCTCAGCTTCTAGCAGTTTCTGCCTGGAACACGGTAGGCACTCAATAACTGTCGAGTCAATGAAAGGGGTTTCCTCAATTTAGCCTCTCCCTTTGGAGCCTAAGAACACCTAACTGGTCTCCCTTTCCCGTGAAATAACGCAGGCATTGTCCAGCTCTAGCCCTTTCTCCAATAAGCTGGTCAGACACTCCTTGCCCCATTCCTCCCACTTGCTTGCTCCTGAGTCTGGTCAGTCTGGCTTCCCTCTCCACCTTTCCTCAGGATCTGCTCACTGAGGGCTAATGAATGGCCAAACCCTGAGGTCTTTTTTATTATTATTAATTTTTAAAAAAATTGATTTCACAGAGAGGAAGGGAGAGGGAGAGAGAGATAGAAACATCAATGATGAAAGAGAATCATCAATTGGCTGCCTCCTGCACGCCCCCTGCTGGGGATTGAGCCTACAACTCGGGCATGTGCCCTGACAGAGAATTCAACCATCATCTCCCGGTCCATGGGTGGATGCTCAACCACTGAGCCACACTGGCCAGGCCTGAGGCTTTCTTTCAGACCACTTTTGTTCCCGTACTTGGCAGCCTGTGGCACAGTGACCACCCCCTCCTCAACACTTCTGCAACAATGCTCTACTGGGTCTCGCTCCTCTCAGGCCACTCACTTTACATCTCCTGCACTCACTCTGTTCCTTCTCCACCCCCAACCCTGTGTGTTGCCCAAGCCTGATTTCCTCACCCTCTGCTTTTGCCTTTCTATGCTTTCCCACGTGGTGCGGCCTCTCAGCTGAGCCACAGCCCCTCAGCTTCAGCGCAACTCACACAGGTCCACCATGTCCTGCCACCACCTAACACCCTATGGCTATCCACAGCCAGGCCTATCTCCTCTGTGCCCGGAATATTCTGTCATCATTCACACCTCCGCACTTGTGCTCATGCCCTTCCTTCTACCTGAAATGCTCTTCAGTTTCCACTCTGCCCTGTTAAACCTTAGCTTATCTCTCCTTAAGGCTGGCCCAAGTCCCATCTTCTCCCTGAAGTCTTCTCTAACCAGTTTGGCTCAAGTGAAACTCCTTTCAATGAGCTCCTGTAGCTTACTTTTTGGAACACTCAGCTCAGCAATTAATCTTGTATTGTCTGCTCGTTTTGATCATTTTACATGCATTTTACATTTATCTCTGAGGCAAATCCTAAATTCCTGAGGGCAGAGCTTAGAGTTTCCCCTTCCTCTGCAGGGCTTAGCACTGAGCTAGGACATAACAGACTCTGAACACGTAACTATGAAACTGGACTCTGGTTCCTCATTCAGCTCTTCCTTCTCCCAGTTGACTGTTCCTGAATTCTTGAGTCCTTCCCCCACAGGATTTACTTGAACCTCTCTGAGCTCTCCTCTGAACTGGCTCCAGTCCCCCAAGTTCCTCTTTCATTGTGGAGCCCACGCCCACCCCCAAGGCTTTCTGAGCATCCAACCAGGCTGAGAACAATGTCAGGGTGATCTCATGCTTATACACCCTGTTTGGTGTTGGCTCTACTTTTAAATCACAAAGCTGCGGCAGACTCATGGTTGACTGAGGAGATGGGGGAGCAGCCTGCCAGCTCAGCTTTGGCTGTGCTAGCCCGGCCCTCTCCAGCCTGGATTAGGAGCCTGTACAGCCTTCTCAGGGATTACTCCACAATGGATCCTTTACTTGTAACTTCTCTTTCTGCCTGAGGTCAAGTGTCCACACCTGTGATAAATGGGAAGGAAGCAGGTGTTCTGGCCCTGATCTACCCCCAGGGGAGATGCTCCCAAGCGGCCAGGGCTAGAACTGCCCAGCAGAGGGGACTACATCTTTCTGAGATGCTGACTTCCCTGCTGGCAGGAAGGGTGGCTCTGAACTCCAGTGATCCCCCAAACCAGAGATAAATCAGAAAGGGATCTTGGTCTCAAGGAGCCAGTCTCCCATTAGTTCAAAGAAGCTGCTCTATCACCAGGAACAAGAACATTATCTCTGCCCCTACCAGAAACAGTAACCCAGGGTGCTAGGGCTCCACTCATTCCTGACAAGATGGAGATGAAGGGTTGAATTAGCCAGAGAGAGATTTCTTTGGAAAGAAACATCAACAATTCTAGGAAACAACCTAAGCCGAGGCTGGGTAATCATCTTCAGGACTGTGAAGTGCCAAGCCTCACGTAAGATGGAAACAGACCTCCTACCTATCAGTGAGGATAGAACTGGACCTGGAGAAGGCAGGGCCGACCACAGGTGCCAACCTGACCCAGGCAATGGGAGGCCCCTGTGTGCAGTTCTGCCCGGAGCCAGGTGATAGAGAGGGGAGCCATATGGACTATGCCTTTCTTCAATGCTCGCAGCCAAACTATCATCAGTGGGACACAGGGGACTTGGAACTTTGTTTAGCTTCTCAACAAGGCCCTCAGGATGCCCTTTGGGGAACTACCTGTGTCCGTGAGCAAGGCAGGCCAAGAAGAACCATGACACGGGCACAGATCAAAGTCACCTCTGAAAGAGCTGAAGCAGCTGATGATAAACCCAGGGAAGGGTGAAGAAAACAGGACAGGAGAAAGGAGGGAATGTGAAGGAGGTCAGGCAGGAGCCCAGATTAAAGAGAAGGAAAGGGGACAGGTGGAGTCCTAAAAATCCATTTTATCAACAGTCCAAGTGAAGACATTTGGAGCAAGGTCATTAACTTTATAGGTGGCACTTAGCTGGGTGGGGTGGCTAACATCTTAGAAAACAGGATCAGAACAAAAGGGTAAAACCCAATTAAGATAAGTTTCTCTAAAAAAGGGTGATTCTCCCTGGAGTGTAGGCAGTCTACCTAGGAGCCCAAACAGGCCACTCAAAGTAGACAAAGACTGGCTGAGCAAAATGATGTGGGAGTGTCTGCAAGGAATGCAGATCAGTCTGCTAGAGCTGCTACTACAAAACCCACGCCGGCAAGTCCATCTCCCAAGTGCTGCATATTGGGGTTGGTCTACTCGAGAGCCTCCTACTATCATCTCCCTCTTTTAAATGACAAATGAAGAGGATACTTGAAATAACTAAGAGGATAAAGAAACGATGTCTCAGCCCTCACTGCCTCCCTGGGAACATCTTGCCCAGACCCCACTAGCCTGGCTCAGAGGCAGAAGCCCTCACCAGGACGTAGAGCAGGATGTAGAGGTGGTGGGTCAGCCAGAAGCCCCGGAAGCTGCGGCGCCGGAAGTGGTGGGAGGCGAAGACATACATGATGGCCAGGACCAGGAGCATTATGACCCCCGTGAGGCCTGCAAAATGAACAGGGGGTGAAGGGCAAAGGAGTAGGGCTGCTCTGAGCCTGCCAAGGATCTGGATCCCTTTTCCACACCACTGTCCTGGGGAGGGGGTGGGGAAAGCCCCAGCCTCTTTCTCTGTTCCTCTCCCCTCACACCCCTGTAGGGTCATTCTACAGACCCTACTCATCCATTACAGACCTTGTCTTGATATTTTTCAAGTACCTATGTCATTATTTGTTTTATGTCCATCACTTTCCTGACTCCTAGGTTCACAAGAACAGGGACCAGGTTAGACTAGTTCACTACTGAATCCTAGTGCCTAGTGTAGGGCCTGGCACACCGTGGGCCTTATATAAATGATGCTGAATGAATGAATGAATGCATGCATGCATGGGGCTCTGGGCCCTGAGCCGGACTCAACATTGCAGGCCCTGCCTCATGGAGTGAAGGCTTGGCCCACATACCTGCAGCACTCCACTTAGGTGCCACAGCACACAGCATGAGCACTGGCACAGCAGAGCCCCACTGGGTTCAGTCCTGAATTGATGGGAGGCTCCACTTCACAGGGAAGCCTAGAGCTGGGCTACCCAGGAGGGAGATACTGGAGCCAGGATGGGAGTGCAGAGGCCAGAGGATGGCCCCTCAAGTGATCAAGGAGGAGAGAGGCAGAAATTAGGAAGATTAGAGCCCTAAAGTACGGCAAAGCAGAGGTTAAGAAGGGATCTAACTGAAGACTGTGAAGTACAGAACGGAGAGGAGAACATAAACACAGCCTTATCCCCAAAACCCCAGTGTGCAGGAATTAGCAAGCACTCTTTGAAGTTCAAAGCATATCATTTTAGGATTAAAAAAAATAAAAAGTTTAAAACTGTGCTTTGTATCACAGAGGAGTGAGTGTAGAAAACGTGTTACCCCAAGGAAGGAACAGACTGAAAATATAAATGGGTTCAAGAAGTGTTTGAATAGATTCACAGCTAATAGCCCTAAAACGGGTGATTATGGGGAGTTAGGAATATGCTCTAAACAGCCCTTGTCAAGACAGACTAAAAGGAGGNCCTCCCTGGGAACATCTTGCCCAGACCCCACTAGCCTGGCTCAGAGGCAGAAGCCCTCACCAGGACGTAGAGCAGGATGTAGAGGTGGTGGGTCAGCCAGAAGCCCCGGAAGCTGCGGCGCCGGAAGTGGTGGGAGGCGAAGACATACATGATGGCCAGGACCAGGAGCATTATGACCCCCGTGAGGCCTGCAAAATGAACAGGGGGTGAAGGGCAAAGGAGTAGGGCTGCTCTGAGCCTGCCAAGGATCTGGATCCCTTTTCCACACCACTGTCCTGGGGAGGGGGTGGGGAAAGCCCCAGCCTCTTTCTCTGTTCCTCTCCCCTCACACCCCTGTAGGGTCATTCTACAGACCCTACTCATCCATTACAGACCTTGTCTTGATATTTTTCAAGTACCTATGTCATTATTTGTTTTATGTCCATCACTTTCCTGACTCCTAGGTTCACAAGAACAGGGACCAGGTTAGACTAGTTCACTACTGAATCCTAGTGCCTAGTGTAGGGCCTGGCACACCGTGGGCCTTATATAAATGATGCTGAATGAATGAATGAATGCATGCATGCATGGGGCTCTGGGCCCTGAGCCGGACTCAACATTGCAGGCCCTGCCTCATGGAGTGAAGGCTTGGCCCACATACCTGCAGCACTCCACTTAGGTGCCACAGCACACAGCATGAGCACTGGCACAGCAGAGCCCCACTGGGTTCAGTCCTGAATTGATGGGAGGCTCCACTTCACAGGGAAGCCTAGAGCTGGGCTACCCAGGAGGGAGATACTGGAGCCAGGATGGGAGTGCAGAGGCCAGAGGATGGCCCCTCAAGTGATCAAGGAGGAGAGAGGCAGAAATTAGGAAGATTAGAGCCCTAAAGTACGGCAAAGCAGAGGTTAAGAAGGGATCTAACTGAAGACTGTGAAGTACAGAACGGAGAGGAGAACATAAACACAGCCTTATCCCCAAAACCCCAGTGTGCAGGAATTAGCAAGCACTCTTTGAAGTTCAAAGCATATCATTTTAGGATTAAAAAAAATAAAAAGTTTAAAACTGTGCTTTGTATCACAGAGGAGTGAGTGTAGAAAACGTGTTACCCCAAGGAAGGAACAGACTGAAAATATAAATGGGTTCAAGAAGTGTTTGAATAGATTCACAGCTAATAGCCCTAAAACGGGTGATTATGGGGAGTTAGGAATATGCTCTAAACAGCCCTTGTCAAGACAGACTAAAAGGAGG